TTGCTTTGCAAAGGTAGCTATAATGTACATCTAAAACTAAAAGTCCTAGAAAACAAGCGACATATCGTTGGAAAGAGCATAAAAAATGATCGAACCCGTCTATCGGGATTTCCCTGGCAAATTGATCAATAAGGGACAGGGCGGCCCTGTAGGTCATGATTTTGCAAAAATTAAGATCTGATTACGTCATTAAGATCTACTTAAAAAATGAATAACATTTGAATTTGAAATTTTACAAATATCTCTATAAATACGTGAGCTAGATAACTAAAATTTGTAACAATTTTGATGAATCTGTAAAACATAAGGATTTTGATTTGCCCTAGATTAGTTATTTCTCAAGATATCTTAAACGTTTAAAATGCTGAACTTATCTCCTTTTGAAGCACATTATAAGGCCTAGTCGGATTTGATCGTATTTTTATTTATCACTATTTTAATATGTCAAAAGGACACAATTAAATGAAAGTTTAAAATACTTTTTACAAAATTCATTTATCGCAAGAGACATAGAAATGCGAGCAAAAAACCTGGCGCGCTTTTTTGGACTCATCTCATAAATGATTATTCCATAATTTATCAAAATTTTGATATACCACGCTTCCCTGTGCCTTAATGTTACAATTACCAGGGAAATCCTGATAGATGGGTTCGATCATTTTTTATGCTCTTTCCAACGCCGTGTTGATTGTTTCTCCATGACATGTAGTTACGTAATATGTGAATCATCCCTAAGCTATTTAACTGTTGCCAAGTATAGCTAACTTATAAAACTCACCGCCATTTATAAACTAATAATTAGATTTGAATGAGTTTTGTTTAATATGAAAGTTGATTTTGTGTCTATAAAGTGTACTTTTTATTTGTGACCTATAAATCATTGTTTCATAAGATTATCATTAAATGACTTTATTATACGTAATTTGTTCATACTTTTAGGTCTAGCGGTTTCGTGACAATCATAATTTTAAAACATTTTCTGGTCGACCGATATCTATACAATAGTATTGTTTCTAATTTAATAATTTAAAAATTACATTTATATTGAAAAGTAGCCAATAATAAAGTGGTTGGCAACCAACTTGATCTATAGGTATAAGGAATTGCAAATTACAATGCACTACAATTGCATTGCAATTGCAGTGTATTATTGACTTCATGGTTGGCAACAGTTATATCAGTCGATGATTGGTTCAACTTCTTCTATACTTTAAAAATGTTTAATTTTCAACAATTATTAAAGTATTGAATGACTAATTCAAATTATATGACTACATATACAGTACAGCTGTATATTAATTACATACAAGTGTAGCACCACAATCAATGAAATAAAATTTAATGGTTATATAAGTGGTTAAAATGCTTTTACCGGTACTATTATATTTTAGTAATAAAAGTTATTATTTATTTTATTTCCTTAATTATAACTATTGTTAACACGCGCAGTTATATTATTGTACTATTTTGATATAATACGCAAAGGTTTTTAAATAATTTTTGATAATAATTTTTAATTAAAAATATGAAAATAATTTTAATTTAAAAAAATAACTTCATATTAATATTGAAATACAATAGAAAAACTGTTATTTTCTAATTACAGTTGAATGATAAGCATTACTAATACTGCTTAATGTTTAGTTGCAAGATAGCATAATTGTTAAATAATAATGATCAAGCACAAATTAGACAAAAGATTTGGTATGCAATTAGTGTACTAACTTATATAGGTTATACAATTAAATATTTTAAATTTATAAGTAGGGTATTTAAAATAGCAAATTAAAACTACAAACTGACTTGTTCATTCAATTTAATCTAATTTAAAATATATGCAAAAATTGCTTTTAATAACTTATATAATTTGCAATTTCTTAACGTTACATGATATTGCAACAATTACATTTGAGATTAACTTGAAAATGTTATAGAAGTTTAAACAGGATCTTGTTGAAATTTTGCTATTTAAAAACCAGTTAATTGACTTGCAAAAAATTACCTATAAAAGCACATGAAACAAACTATTCAATATTTATAAGTTTTAAGTTGTACGTTAAGTTTCAAATAAAAGTTCATTTAGTAAATATCCCGTGAATTATGACATTATTGTTGGGGTCAGTGTTGGCACTGATTTGTCGGACATACGTGTGGGGTCTCATTGGACTCATTGTGGCGGTGATCGCGTACTACTACTTGTAAGACATACTGTGTATTAGATTTAATAAATAAATTGAATTGACTTGAACACATAATAATTCTTAAAATTATACATTCATTGAGTTCGCGGAGGAATGCCTTCAACTATTGGAAGGATCGACACATTTGTGGTCCAAAACCGATCCCTATATTCGGAAACCTTTTGAGTTTATCCCTAAAGCCTCGCCCATTACTGGAGTTGGAGTGGTATAAGAAATACGGCAAAATTTATGGGTAATTATGCCATAAAAACAAAAACAAAATTTAATATATTTTTGATTACACTTTTTGATTGTGTTTACAGATTATACTCTTCAGCAAAGCCTGTGCTAACAGTGGCCGACCCGAAGCTCATCAAACAAATTCTGGTCAAAGATTTCAATGCGTTTCGTAACCGCTCCACACCTCCCGGGGACGGCAACCTGATTATGGTCAGAGCTAGAGATAACAACTGGAAACGGATCCGGGCGATAGTCAGCCCTACCTTCACGTCCGGAAAGATGAGGAAAATGTATGCTCTGATCGACCGGTGCTGCGAAGACTTTGTCAATACCTTAGCTAATGATGTGTCGAATGGCGTGAATGAAGTCGAGTTGACGCGACTGATGGGCGCCTACGCTATGGATGTGATCGCCAGCTGCGCCTTCTCTACGAAAACCAATACATACGCCGATCCTAACAACCCGTTCACTACCAATGCGATCAATTACATCAATGTTCCCCGTTGGAAAAGGGTGCTACCAATGCTTTTGCCATCATTTATAGTGAACACTAATATATACCGACGTGTGGTTAACGTCCGCATAACTGAAACGACATTTTTCGCAGACTTATCGCGAAGTTTAATAAAGAAAAGACGAAATAATAGCGAAAAACACAACGACTTTCTGCAGCTATTAATAGATGCCGAGAGACCTGATGGAGACGTACGAGAGGCCAGTGATGCCAACGAAGCACATCATGTGAATGAGGGTAAGGATGAGATGAAAGCCGACGCCGAAGCCTTCAGTGATGTGTTGGAGAAGAAGTTGACTGAAGACGAGATTTTAGCGCAATGTTTGCTATTCTTCGTCGCCGGCGAAGAGACGACTTCCACTACTCTGTCGTTCTGTACGTATGAGTTGGCCCTCAATCCGGGACTTCAGGACAAACTCTATGAAGAAATCAAACGTGTATTCACTGAAAAGGGAGAAATGGATTACGAAGTGCTGTCGAGACTACCATTCCTGGACGCACTCGTATCCGAAACTCTTCGCCATTATTCTCCTTTACTTCGACTCGAGAGGGAAGCCATGGAAGACGTCGTGTTAGACAACACTGGAGTGAAGATCGAGAAGGGAGTGATCGTTGAGATCCCTGTCTATGGCATACATCACGACCCCGACCACTATCCAGATCCGTTTACCTTCACCCCGGATAGGTTTATGCCCTCAAACCGGGGTCATATCCAACCCTATACTTACCTCCCATTCGGTTCGGGTCCACGAAATTGCATTGCAATGCGATTCGCGTTATTGGAGGTAAAGCTCACGTTAGCGAAGATCTCGCATTCGTTCCGCTTCTCCAGAGTCACCGACACTGACGTCCCCGTCATCTACACCGGGGTTCGGCCTCTCATTCAGGCTAAGCGACTGGTTGTGGGCATTCACAAGCGATAAGCTATGGTTTTAGGTAAACATATTTACACGAGATTTATACTGATTACTACGAAATACAGTTCAAATAAACTATGAACAATGTTAAAGTATTATGTAGTATATTCAAATTATAAATATAATGGTAATCAATTAATTTGTTTAATGCACATTTTTATTGCAAAATATATAAGTTATTCAATTTAAAAACAATTACTGTGAATAATATTAGGATATAATAGCATACAATTCTATTATAAACCCAATTCAAATCAAATGTCCAAGTTTTTTATTTTGCTGAAAAATTATTATTATATTTAAGAAATGATTCATTAAAAGATTTTCGACCATTTATGTGAATATTTTATACACATAAATTTTACTATCATTTTGCTAACTATTAACTTTTGTAAATTTTAAGTTCAAATTAACTGGGTTATCTAAACTTATGGGTGTCTTCAGGGTTTTAACAACAGATGAATGTAGTATTTGGTGGCATATTATTTCACATGTGAATTCACCTTACTTCAAATTTTGTGAAACCACAAGCATTTTCTATGATAGATTTGGTTTGACTTTGAGTAAAATTACTCTTATCTAGGTGAATTCAAATAGAAAATAATATGTCCCCAACTGCAACATTCATCTGTTGTTAAAACCCTTAAGACACCCATAAGTATAGATAACCCTGTTAATTTTGGTTTAATATTTACAAAAGTTAATACTTAGCATAATGATAGTATATAATATAATAAATCAAATCTGTTTTTAAAATATGCTTGCTTGCTGCATCAAACTAAAATTAAATAACTTAAATAACTTATCATGTCTTATTATTTGCACGATACATTTATTTATAAACAAAATCCTTAATATCTATTACATTATGACCATGTATTATTTATTATCCTAGATATATTTAATCAAAAATAAAGTCTAAGACAATATGAATGCATTAGTTTTGTATTAACAATTTCTATACATTATGAACCACTGACCTATAAGATACCTCTGGCCCCGCATTGTACACTGATGGGGCTTAAATAAGTTGTAGGGTACATGTCCCTGATGAATATCTAAAAATTATGTGTTTCTTCCGGCCCTTTAGTGTCCATTTATCGCCGCATAAAACGTACCGAAAGCTTAAAACTTCACAAATAATACATTTAATGAGTGAATAAAAAGTGTTTGAAATTTTGATTCTTTTTTTCAATCATTTTCATCGCTAATCGCTTTTAATCTCTTTTTCGTAATTTTTGTTCAAAATATATATTCATCGATTAAATTAAAAATAAAAAGATAATGATGCAGGTAACAAATATAAGCAGTTATTGTACATTATTTGCAGAATGTCAGTAAATGTATAAAACAGTATTAGCTACTAATACTTGTTTAAAATAACACAAAATTTGATATAAATAGATTTACAAGTCAAATTATTACTGATTATACTAAAATTAAATCTTTAATCAAATAAGCCAAAACAAAACCAGTTTAATCAAACAAACAGGGTTGTGGACAGTTTTGTTTTTATTTTAAATATCATTGTTACCACCATGCACCGTATATTAGAATTTGGATCCGGACAATAATTTTGACTCGCGAACAAAGGGAACAAAGTTTCATCCAGGTGGCTTTATTAATGGGAGATTATTTAGATTTCTATGAGACCGGTTAACAATTCATCAAAACTTGTAAGTTTTGTACATTTCAATCAGATATTAACATAATCTTTTTTTATTATTTTAACTTAATAACAATATCAAGTGTAATAGGTAATTGGGAATGAGACAGTGTTTTAGTATTAACTTGTTACCATTTTGATAAATACATATACTATTTGTAATTTATAATTAATGGAATTTAAATGTTTCAAGGTGTAATTTACAAAATATAAAATAATATTTGCATAGAAATTGCTAGAAACCGGAGGTGGCGTTGGGAGATTAATGTCCATAGTTGGATAATTATTTACTATAATATTAACATCTGCGATTTATATTAATTTTTAAAGCAAACTCACCATTTATAATTTGAATTTGCCAATCTTTTTGGAGTAATACTAGTTTGAACTTTTCAACAGATTAGTATTTTTTTCAGGGAATTCTTATACCTCAACGTTATACCTAATATTTTATACGAGATGAGATTCAAATTTATAACTTTTTCGTAAGACATTTTAATGTTCACTGTTTGAACGCTGATGATTAAATGAATAGATTGATTTAATCAGAGATTTCGATATATCTTGCAAAATAATAATTAACAAAAATTACGTTACAGAATATAAAAATTCCCGTTATTATTTTTGTTGTAACAAATTTTATTAAATATAATAAAAAAGTTTCATGTAAATTTTTAAAATTAAAATGATTGATAAAAATTGAAAATAAAATTAAAAATTTAAAAATGGTTAAATTTCTTAAGATAAAATAGTTAAAATAAAAATCTTCAAAATTAAATGAAAAATATGTAATAAAAATACTTAAGATTGATTATTATAAAATGTTTAAGATATTTAAAGAAGAAAGAATATAATCGGATGCTCAAGTTTCTGGAAAAGTTCTTAAAATTCAAGAATTGTCTGAAAAAAGTACTAAACTGTTGAAAGGTTCTAACTTTCGTATTACTCCAAATTCAAACTTAAATTATGGTGAGTGCTTAAAAATTAATATAAATAGCAAAGATGTTAATATTATTCAGTGGCGCAGTTGCGTAATACACTAAAAACTTAGGCTTGAAATGCTAGTGTATACATCGACGTGGGTTCGTATCCCCACGGTGCGTTTTTCAATTGAAAACACAGAAGCCTTAATGGGAATAATTTATTGCACAATTGACAGACCCCCGCATGCAAGATCAGTTGAGGTTGAATGCGTCAGGGTCTATAAATATTAAGAATTCATTTTCATTATTGTAAATAATTATCCAACTATGTATAAAAATATTGACTCATTTGAAAATTTGTATTTGATTTTTAATAAAATTTGAATATTCCGGTACACTTCAGTCATGTACCAATACGGTACGGGAGAGCGTATATGTTACTGCTCTCCTCGATCCTGATTGATTAGTGCTTATTTTGTAGCTATACTGCTTCTTAATATAAGCTTTCCTAATTGCCTCATACGGTATATATCTATAAATAATTAGGTAAAGTATTAAAAAATAAGAATTACGGAATAATCATTTTATAATAATTAGTATATCTGAGCGGATATTCTCAATAATAGTTGTTCCGTTACATTAAATTCAGGGTATTTCGATTTAAATGTGTAAGATATGAGTCAATTTGCGTATAGTTTTAAAAAGTTTTTGAACACTTTTGCGTTCAAATGAATAAAAGTTTTATTTGCAGTCGTGAATTATTTTTAAAACAAAATTAAGTTTTATTTTAACTTTTGATTATAAAATACAAATAGTATTAAATGAATTTAATATAAAAATTAGTTGACAATCAGTGTCACGAATAGTGCACTGAATTGGTGTACAAATTAAGTCATGATTTTGTGTGCATTTGTATTGTCTTTAAATACAAAATATTTGGTATTTTTATTGTATTGTCGGTGTGTTTGTGTGGGTGCGAGTGCTGGCTATTCTGTTGGTTGACCCCATTCAGGCCTTACATTTGACCACCAGTTCCCATACACTTTGTTTGCACTGATGTCCACTTCTACTGGACATACATTTGGCATTTATTTATAAATACAGAGAATTAGTATCATAAACTAAAAGCATATTAAGTTTGAATTTATATTTCAAATGAAACATTTATAATAAAATTTATTGAAAATAAGTTTAAAATAAAATTCTTAGAAAATAGTTTGTATTTAAATTTACATATACTTTACAAATGTTAAGTATATCTTATTTCTGTAATCAGTCATATTAGTTTCGAGTCGAGTTGATCTGTAGTATTCGCGCATTATCAAGGTATTCATCTCGTGTCCATTTCATGCTCTTATGCGATTTATCCCCCAAATTGGTCAGTTGACGCTGAGAATCAGCTTGAACTGAAACATTTTGGTGGTTAGTCTGATTTTGTTGACTATTCTGAGGTCGCATTACATCACAGCTTTGCCCGCATTGCACATCACTGCGTGGGATACGAACCATACTTGGCGAACTGCAGTCAATGCCTACCTGATGAACGCGGGATTTATTTGAGAGGGTACCTCCCGAACACCCCCCGTTATTCCTTCGACTACGTGTAATCATTTTTTATATATATTTTTGTTTTGGCCTTTTTACGGGGACCCAGACCATAGAAAAAGCTCAACACTAACATGTGTCTATTGCCACCCATTTCTCAACACTGACATGTATTTGTTGAAATAGGATTTTTCAAAATGGCCATCGCGCGCGATGACGAGTATCTACTCGAGGGGTGAAGGGACATCCTTGCGGACGCCCCTTCGGGGTGGGGACACCTTTGCAGGCACCCCCGGGTGGGAGCGCCCTTGCGGGCACCCCCGGGTGGACACCGATACCAAAGTACCGGTACCCGGGTTCGGGCAGAAACTCGTCCTCACTTTGCGCCCCGCTTTCCCCATACTACTTAGGTTGGCCGTCCTAAGCAGCGTTGGTTGGGCAGGGTTCGGGAGACACAGAA